GACATATCGAGTGACGTGCAGTTTCGTGGTCACTTGGAAGGGAAGGCCAAATTGGCCTCTAAAAAGCTTGGCGTGCTCAGCAGAGTGGGACAGTATTTCATGCCGGCACACCGCCTGCTACTTTACAAGGCGCAAGTTCGGCCTCACATGGAATACTGTTCCCATCTCTGGGCAGGGGCTCCCCAGTGCCAGCTCCTTCCACTTGACCGCATCCAACGCAGAGCGGCTCGAATTGTCGACGACCGAGCCCTTTCCGATCGGCTCGATTCATTGGCACTGCGAAGAGATGTTGCATCCCTTTGCATTTTCTTTCGCATCTACCATGGGGAGTGCTCTGAGGAATTGTTCGGATTAATCCCAGCCGCCAAATTTCACGAACGCACATCGCGGCAGAACTCCCGATACCATCCACACCATCTGGATGATTGGCGCTCCACCACTGTGCGATTTAGAAGATGTTTTCTTCCTCGCACGACCTCCTTGTGGAATCGATTACCATCAGCGATTTTTCCGGACCGATACGACTTAGGGACCTTCAAGAAAAGAGCGTACTCCTTTTTAAAAGGCCGGCAACGCATCTGCGATCCCCCTGGTGTTGCAGTTGTTCATGGGCGGCGGTAGTCACTTACCATCAGGTGAGCCGCATGCTCGTTTGCCCCCTCTCCTATAAAAAAAAAAATTCAAGCAGTAGAAGCTGGAGTCTCGTGAAATTGTGACGTATATATGTCATTATATACCATAACAAGCAACCATAATAAAACTAATGTAAATTATAAAATTTAACATAAATTATTAACTCTCTGAATGCGAGGCTTACGATTTATTCTTCTTTTTTTATATGAACTTCATTCCTAATCAGATGTTTAAATTTTAATTTATCTCCGTCATTTGAGGTTCTTAGATGCCGATTATATTGTTGTAAAAGGGTTTTTCTGTGTGTGAGTGTGGGTGTGGGTGTGAGTGAGTGAGCACATTCGTACCATTGCACGTCAAATATTAGTAAACTATTGCGTCTCAAATATCTCGAGAACAAATCATGATATTGGCGGTAAAACATATCTATTCGAAGCTTGATTGCACGAACATTTGATAAAAAAAGTTTAAAATCTATTCTGTAATTTGTTTTAGATTAAAAAAAACTAAATTGCCTATTCGCTGTGATGTTTGAAAATAGGCATTGGAAAATATAAGAGGGCATTGCACTGTAGACCTTAAGCAAACAAAGATATTGCAAGACCACTATATAACATAGAATCCTTTAACCCTGTTATTTTATCCTTACCACTACGTATGGCTTCAGGATGTAGAACACCTCAATAACTTGATACTTTGGTTACCGTTTTGAAAAGACACAATTTTCTGAAATAATTATTTAGATATTCCATACCATTTGAAAGAAAGATTTATTACTTAAATATTTCTCTCGCTCTATTTTTATAATAAAAGAGTGACAAACGTATATATATACTAATAGTTCACCTTATTGTATGTGCTAAATAGTCCAATTCATAATTAGTTTTTATTTCTTCAATAAAGCACTTAATCACAATGTGAATATGTCACGTTAGTTCCACACCAAAAAAAAAAAGGTTACATTATATTTAAAATTAGAGAATAAACTTCCACCAGCAACAACTTGGGTGATGTCAACATTAATCGGTAGAGATGCTATTGAATAACATGACCAATAGCACAGTCTATATTATGTAAAACAAATAAAACTAACCGCGATATAATAGGTTTATCTTCCTGGTTGACAAAGTAGTGGAACTCCTTTGGTGCCGAGGAGGCTATCTGAGTAGATTCACCCTTCAGACCCTTTTGTGCAGTGCACTCTCTGCTGTATTCCAGTCAGTCAATCGCAAGGGTATATAAACCAGTATAATACAGGCTGTGAGGCATTACATCTTCTTCCTCAGTGGTGTCAACGCATCTCAAGCCTTCTATGTTGAAGTTAGTTGCACGTGTTTTTTATAGGATAAGGGTGACAAACGAGCACACAGTCCACCTGATGGTAAGTGTTGCTGCGGCCTATAGACATCTACATCTATCCACTATTACAAATCAAAATGCAGATGCGTTGTCATCCGTGAGGACTAAGATAGAATGCCTCATTTAAAAACTCACAGTAAAAAGGGTCTCCGGTTCTCTACACTCACCATACGAAACACAGCAGCGTTAAGCTGCTATTTTACGCTAGTATTCTGTGAGAGCGTGGACCTACCCCGGTCGAGCCGACCCATTCGTGCCACAACTATACTACTAATACAGCTGCAGCATGGCTCTACCGCGTCAAAAGTGTTCATGAGCTGCAGAAATCACTCATCATCAGGGTGAATTTAAGTTCGTTTCTCACTCCAATTCTATAAAAAGATCTTTGTCCCCCTTCTGCCAGTGTTGATCATGCAGTACTCACACTTTTGATTCATACAAAGTGAACAAAAGGTTGTCATCAAAAGTTAAATTCAAGGTTTATTGGCCATATATCGAAACACGTAAAGAAATAATCAAAAACTTTTCAAATATAGGGTAGGTCGGTCGCCTTAGGCTAAATGTCACCATCAAAGTTATTGCTATCTTGAAAAAAAATAAAAGAAAAACTATGAATAGCAGTTTTATAGGCAAGTCTACATTATGATCATAAAATAGTTGAAAAATATTAAACTAACAAACGTCAGAAAAAACAGACTACTATTTTTAAAGAATTGTAATATTTATTCACATAATGATTTCTTATATTTACGCGAACAGTACACATTAGATAAAACTACTTTCACGAATTTTATCACGTTTAATTTTATTTGTTTTCAATTATCGACTTTTCGAGTGCTTTACAGACTTATGGTCACAGGGCAAAGCACCCGATACGCCCTGATTAATAAACAAATAAAATTAAACGCGATAAAATCTGTAAAACTAGTTTTGACTTGCTTTGTGGTTGGATAGGCATTCACTGTTTAACCAAATACGTGCGATCTACTGCTATTAATCATTCGCCTGACAAACGTGGCGATTCTTCTTCCAATCCTTCTGTATTTGTGTATTTTTGGCTACTATTAGTATACGCGGTAGAGCCATGCTGCAGCTATATATCTAGTATAGTTTTAGCACGAATAGGTCGGCTCGACCGGGTAAGGACCACGCTCTGACAGAATACCAGGGTAAAATAGCAGCTTAACGCTGCTGTGTTTCGTATGGTGAGTAAGATCTGGAGACCCTTTTAACTGGAAACGTGGCATTTCATCTTAGTCCTCACGGTTAACAACGTATCTGCATTTTGATACGCAATCCAGGATAGATGTAGATGTATATGGGCCACAGCAACCACTTATCATCAGGTGGACTGTGTGCTCGCTTGTCACCCTTATCCTATAATTTTTTTTATAGGATATGGGTGACAAACGAGCACACAGTCCACCTGATGGTAAGTGGTTGCTGCGGCCCATAGACCCGTGAGGACTAAGATGGAATGCCTCATTTCCAGTAAAAAGGGCCTCCGGCTACCTGCACTCACCAAGCGAAACGCAGAGGTAAACCTCTACTTCACGCTGGTATTCTGTGAGGTCGTGGTACCACCCCGGTTCGAGCCGGCCCATCGGTGCGTCAGCAAAAGCTGCCGCGTGGCTCTACCACTGTTAAAAATTGTATAAGCATGACAGTATGAGTGTAAAGAACGCAAAAAAAGTATTATTTTATTAATTATTCTTTACGAAGATTATATTATTTATAACATTACATGACCTATGCAAATTCCTTAAGATATATTTAATAATTAATTTTAACATAATATATAAAAATTACATATACTTATAATATATTAAAAAAAACAATACAAAAATTTAGTTAGAGCCCACCCTATAGTTCCAGACTCAAACGTACCCACTAGCTGTTTTTTCACGTTTGTGTAAGTATTTATATTAATAAATTCTAGAAATAATATGTTATTTAGCTTCTTTGACTTATATTATATTGTTATTATATTGTGATTTATCTCGTTCAACGATTGAAAAAGCCCTTGTTCAGTGTTGGGCTTTCCTTTTACTAGCTAATCAGGTAGAAAAAGTAAGTAGGTTTTTATATATTTTTGAAGTTATATATTCATTTAAACATTAAAAAAGAAATGGATATGTATATTCTTAAACTCGAACAAATTAGCTGAACGCAACATTAATTTGATTATCATTAAATAACAGTAATACGGTTAAGTGCATTCGACGGCCGATCGATGTGCGGTTAACGCTTCCTATACTAATGATGTGTCGCGGGATTGGCCATTGATGCTTGTATAAAGGCTAGACAAGGTTTGCTTCAACATAGTAATTTTTTTATCTGTGTACACCTAGTATTATGAAGTTTTATTACTAATTGTGGCAAACTACATTAAATACTTTAGTTTTGTACGCGCCATTTAAATGATGATGTCAAATGTCATTTTATAATATACTTCCGCCACGCTCTCGTACAGCTCAAATTTGCATGGTTCTTCATGTCTTATTATTTTTCCTTTTTTGTCAACCTGCATAAATCTACAGCTGGACATGGGCCTCTCTCGTTATCCGAAGGATTTACTATTATTGCTTGACAGGTGGACGATTGCAGAACCAGACGTCTCGCTTCCCGTCGCCGCTTCCCGTCGCCGCTTTAGGTAACTTTACACAATTGTAAAAAAGGTTGGTTGTACCGCCCGTTCAAAGCACAGAAAACATAGATAACATATAGGTTCAAATAAAGCCGTCATACTCCTCTTTTATTTTCTACAAAATGATTGTCTTATTAAAATCAATAAAAAAAAACAACAATGGAAAGACAGAAACACGTACATACAAGTTCAATTAATAAGGTTGATTGCATCAAACAATTATTGGAATTGGATGAACCTAACATCATGCTTGCAAACTTGTAACGCCTTGTCACTGAAAAGCCCACTCTTCTGATATTTCTCATTCAAAATTTAAAATTGCAAATTAAGTAAGTAAAATAATATAATTAGTTCAATAGAAATGCCGGGAGCTGTACCCAAAATTAGAACACGTCATGCAGACACTTCCCCAAAAACTAGTATCAAGAATCTACCAAATTACGAATACGTCGGAAATTACTATTCGAAAGACTTCAAATATATAAGTCCAGAAGTTTTGCAACGGATCAAAAGGACAAGAAATATTGTCGCTCCATTGAAAGCGAATATGGAAAAGGGAACTTGTAAATTGTTTACGCGTTTGTGGTTTGCGGAGGTGATAAAAGGGTTGAAACAATTCTTGTACGAAGGATCCCTACATGGAGTTAAGTAAGTATATTTATTATAAAGCTATGTATTATTACAAAAAAAACTTCATTAAATCAAATTAATAAAACAATAAGTTTCTGTAAAATTTTTCACTAAATCAAAATAACCAAATTGTGTAGTTGATTGAAATGGATTTTTTTTTTATTGTTTTGTAGCTAAAGTTTTCAATCGTTGAACCTATATCTATACGATCTGCAAATACTTTTTACAGAATACTTTTTAGCTTCAAAATAGCCAGTATCGAACTAGTTTACATTTTTGGTCCCTATTAAAAGAGAGATTTGAAATATATTAGGTTCGTCTTCTTTTTTTCCTTATTATAAACCGGAGTTTGAGTATAATCCCACATGATAGTAACTTCGTTGTTGTTGGACAAAAAGACAGAAGCCGGGAATTTAATCTACTTCTGTACGCAATACGAACGACGAAACAAACGCTTTGGTTCAAATGCGTGCAATAAGCACAAGAAAGGGGTGAAGACCCGCTGACCACCTTATTATGAAACGGTGAAAAGGGGAAGATTGGATTAAGAAATATAATGTATTACAATAATTATCCCTAATCGCCACGCTTGCTAAGCGATTAAAGCATGTAGGTCCACGACCCTTCTCTAGATATTCGCAAATAGCTAACGGTAAATATTGTCATATGTTGATATTGATGACAATTTCTGGTTCTTAGGAATCAATAGATAAACTAGATTTGAAGACGTCGTGTGGTGGAATTACGCCTTATACCTTAAAAATCACACTCATAACTTAAAAATCTTCTTTTATTTTTTTAAAGAACACATTGCAAAAACTATTATAGTTCTAAATATGTAGAGACGGAATTAGAAGCTTTGGATATTAAATCTTAATTAAGACGATATAATACTTGTTATAATTTTCGACAGCTTAAAGTTCCGGCATTTTCATATCTCCGAATTTAAGATGGTGGGACAACATATTTTGCTTAATATCTTTGAATCTATTCCCTCTATTCAATCCCGTATATTCATCATCATCGTCATTACAGCCCATCACAAGTCCACTGCTGAACATAGGAATGCCACAAAGCACGGTCCTGAGCCTTTTTTCCCCATCGGTTGTCGGTTCTTCGAGCTACATGGCCGGCCCATTACCACTTCAGCATACTACTCACTAGCAATACGCACTGGTTGTACAGTATTCTTTTCAAGTTTTGAGGTATACCTGACGAGAAGATGTGCCGTAATTTCCCGACCGCTGCCCAGCCAAGTTGAATCCGTAGATTGACCTCTCGGTCGAAGTTGGACTTACCTAGTCGGACTATTTGTCCCAGATAAACATACTCGTCAACAACTTCGAGCTTAGTGCTCCCAACAAATACCGACATATGTGTGACATGAACGTTATACAACATGTAACAAAAACCCTGTGGTTCCCGTTAAGTACGTTATCAGGATCATTATTCAAACGTATTGAAATAACTTTTTTTAAAAACTCTAACAATATTTTTTTTTATTTTATTTAAAAAAAATTGTATGCAAATTGTATGTGATTTTATTACCTCCGCATTTTCTGGGGAGTAAGAGGATTGTCAAAGATTCCGCTTTACTTAGCTTTAGCATTGGCTAGTGTCAGTAAGAGGTAATAGAACCAAATAAAATTTTAAAAAAATTTAATAAAAAAATATGGTCGAGTTTTAAAAAGGAAGTTATTTCTATAGGTTTGAATACTGATCCTGATAACGTACTTAACGGGAACCACAGGGTTTTTGTTACATATTGTATATGATCTTCGTTTTGACCATGTTCATCTTAAGACCTATCCGTTGGGAGGCACTATTGAGGTCATTGAGCAAAGTGCTTAGGATATGATATGAAGAATACTTTCTGTAGGTATCTATATTTAAATAATAAGTAAACTATGTAATATTTTAGAATATGTATGTATATGTATGTGTGTGTGTATGTGTATATATATATATACATATAAAATACTCGAGAAGTAAATCGCATATCAATTTATCAGTAAGGCTTAATATGTAAGTGTTAGTAAACCTAAAATTATTTAATTTTTATTATTGTTATTTTATTAAGCTGTTGTAAATTGGTCTAATTTGCATTGTTTTTTATAATTGTACCTGGCTTACCTTTATATTTAATATGTGGATGACTGTTATTCGCATACTTGAAGTGAAATTGAAAATTGTATTTAGTGATATAAGCTGTTGTTATCCTTATTAAAATAAAAATAAAATAAATAAACAAAATATAACGTCACCCTGTCTTACACCTCTCTACAGTAGGATAGGTTTCGTAGTCTGGTTCTATACTCGGATAACCATCGTAGCCCTACTGTACAAACACTTCAGCACTTCGATATACCGACAATCAACTTGGCACCGCTGAAGGGACTGCAGCACCGTCCAAATTTCGACGGAATCAAAGGCTTTTTCATAGTCCACATACGCCAGACATAGTGACAAATTGTACTACTCGGACTTCTGTACAATTTGCCGGGACTTTGTATTAGAGCACGAGGGGGACGGAGCGTTGACTTCCTTGGACGAGACCTCTCCAACTTAACGTTTAGGTTCCGTGTGCCTCTAATCATTCGGTGATCGCTACCAGTTTTCATTTTCGCGATCACGGAGACATCCCTGAACAGTTGTCGTTTGGATAATGAAGTCAATCGCTCGACCGGGTCCACTTCCTGTGGGTCCGCTTCTGGAAGAAAGAATTCATCATAAAAAGTCCCTCTTTCTCCATAAAGTCAGCCAGCTACTGGCCTCTTGGGTTCCGTGGCCCTATATCAAATTTCCCTACCCTCAGCTCACCGTTTTCTCTTGTGCCTAGTTTTACGTTGAAGTCTCCTATTAACACCGTATAGTGGGGTTTTAGAGGAATGCATAGCTCTAAATATATCCTCATATACTTCCTCCACCTCCTCGTCGGGATGTGCCGAGGTTGGTGCGTAAACCTGCATGACCTTCAGCGAATACCGTTTGGTAATTCTGAGTATAAGGTACGCAACCCTCGTTGACACACTCTCAATCTTTACACCGTTGTTAACGAGAGACTTGTGGACGATAATTCCGACACTCCCTCATGACAGATGGTCGCCCCCCCGCTGATGGAACAAGTTGTTGGATTCGAGAATTACCATGTCCTCCCCCTCTCTTCGGACCTCGGATAATCCTATAATATTCCAACGCACCGTAGGCAGGAATAGCGGGGTCGCCGGGGACTGGGGCCCGTCTCTTCGTAACTTTATTCATTGGGGGTATATTGCCATAGTTGCCACACTTGACGAGCGGGTTGGCAACCGAAGTTTTTCTATTGTTGTTTTAGAATATGATGCTGCCTATCTTCTGCCTCAGTTTCCCTCTGTCGCCTCTTACGACACCTACGGGAAGATATGGGATAGTGAGTATTCTTACCCTCTAATATACGGGGTGCCACTATCCCGTGTATTACGGATTGATAAAGAGAAGTAAGAAATAAAAAATAAAACAAAATACTCACAGAAAAAAAGGTGGTTCTTTGCGGATTTTTCTTTTAATCTAATCACAATAATAGAGCGTATAGTGTGACGATGTCCTCTTGTCTTCCTTCTGTCCATTGTGTTCGTCCACACGTAGACTCGTCCGTAAAAGACGGAAGTCATGAAGTACAGTCACAAGTATCGTCAAATTTGCAAACCAACAATATGTATATTGTACAAATATTGGTACTGGTTGAAATTCGAATCCAAGACCCGAGACGTAGCAGCCAACACTCCGACCACTTTGTAAACTATGTTATGTGATTTAAAAGTTTATGAAGATTAAAAAAAAAACACTTTTTGACTTTTTATTTTAACTAGGTGGTAGGACTTTTTTCTGCTAAGGAATCCGTCTAAGTAGGTCTTACCCAGTTCTGCCACCAAATAGCAGTGCTTGCGCCGCTGTGTTTCGATCTAAAAGGTATATACTAAAGAGAGCCACTAAAATTACCAGCTGTAAGGCATCTTTTAGACCTCAGAGGTAACAACGCATTTTCTTAGCCTTTTTGTTTGAAGTTTGCCGCATGTGTGCCTGATGTAACTACTCACCATCAGGTTGACTCTAAGTTCGTTTGTCATTTCAGCTTCATAAAAAAAATTATCATTCAAGTTAATAATCGTAAATAAGCCTTTTTAAATCCACGGTTGGACACAGTCCTTTAAAGAATGTGACAAGAAGCATGCATTACTTAGGAGATTTGGTCAAACTAGCAGGGAAGCCGGGTTTTGTGAGGACAGGGCCAATGTCTCCGCAATGGTGACGATCATTTCCATCAAGAGTCTGTGAAGTTTTGGCTCAATAGTTTTAAGGAATTGTAATCGTCATCAAGCTGACTGCACCGAAAATAAGTGGCATGTCCTCTCTTACAGTCTTATCCCCATCGCAAGTCCACTTCTGAACATAGGTGTCCCCGATAGGTTGCCAGAAAGTATGGTCCTCAGCCACCCACACCCATCGACTACCTGCGTGCTTTATCTGATCGTCACTCCATCTAGTGAGGAGGCAACACTACGTACTACGTGCCAGCACGAGGCAGTCGGTTGTTTAAGTTATATGGCCTTCCCATCAGATATTAAAATATATATACAATATTATATATATAATAAATCGACAATTTGTAGATACATCTTTGAGCCAACCTTCAGTCGAAAAGAAAAGCTGATATGGATAATCATTATGGTTATCAGCGTAGCCATATGTGCTGTAAACATCATTCAGCTGCTATGCAAATGGCACACGAAGCCGTTCGTCAACGTGATCGACTCCTTGCCAACTCCAATATGGGCTATTCCTTTTCCAACTGTGGTCTTGTGCCCACATTTGCATGTCCAACTCTCTTACGCTAATGTTTCTAAGCTTGATGAGTAAGTATTTGGTTTTACAACTGGCTTAGTACTTCTGCTACACTTAATTGTTTGATTTTATTTTAGCACAATTTGATTGGCTTTACTTTAATTTTAATTTTTATAAATAATTGTACAAATGTCTGTATGTCGCCATGTAGTGGCGGCGTAAGAGAATCCACTAACCCTTGTCATCCAGTAGGTGTCGTAATATACGACAGAATCTACCTACTTATTATAAGGATACAATGTTACAATCTATAACTAAATTAATTTATAAGGAGGGCTAAGCATTCGCCGTCCATTTCCCAGGAAGCGAGCAAATCGAGTTCGATCCTCGACAACACTAATGAAATTTGTGCTGATTTACACCATCCTCGGCGGTGAAGAAACCATCTTGAACGGCTGACGGGTCCTTATTGCTTAAGCTAACCGCTGCGGCGTCGAATCCTGTACGGAACAAGTGTTTTTTTATAGGATTGGGTGACAAACGAGCACACAGTGCACCTGATGGTAAGTGGTTGCTGTGGCCCATATACATCTACAACATTATCCTCGTTTGCGAATCAAAATACAGATGCGTTGTCACCCGTGAGGACTAAGATGGAATGCCTCTTTTCCAGTAAAAAGGGTCTCCGGTTCTCTACTACCATAAGAAACACAGCAGTGCTAAGCTGCTATTTTACGCTGGTATTCTGTGAGATTGTGGTCCTTCCCCGGTCGAGTCGAGCCATTCGTGCTACAACAATACTACTAATATAGCTGCAGCATGGCTCTACCACGTATAAAAGTGTTTTTGTGACCTACAAGTAACTGTTCCGTGTCTGGATGTTTGTCCATTTATGTTTGTAAAACGCCCGTCGATTCGAACCCACGACTTGTTAGTTTTGCAAACCGTACTTAACTAACTTATCTATTAGGCTATTGTCGCATTGTTTTTGAATATGGGTAATAAACGAGCATACAGCTCATCTGATCGTAAGTGAATGCTATGGCCCATCTATATTTATCAAAACCCATATTCATCGCCACCTCGTAGGACTAAAATGGACTGGAATGCTTCGTTACCAGTAAAAATGGCCATTTATATATTACACTCACCATACGAAACACAGCAGCATTATTCAGCTGTTTTGCCTTGTTCTGACAGAAAGTTGTCCTACCCCGATGTAGCTTGTCCATTCGTGCTACAACCATAATATGGTTACCTAATTAGGTTACCATAGCTGCCTGCCTCGTTGGTCTAGTGGTTGTAGTAGTGCGACTGCTGATCATGAGGTCCCGGGTTCGAATCCCGGGTCGGGCCAAAAAAATCAGTTATTGAGTTTTTCTATCAAGAAATTCTCAGTAGCTGCCCGGAGTCAGGAAGTTGGCGGTGTCTCACCCCCGTGCCTCGGAAAGCACGTTAAGCCGTTGGTCCTGCGCCTAATCTCTCTCCGGTCGTGTCGGTTTACCGTCCCATCGGACTATGAGAGTGAGGGAATAGAGAGTGCACCTGTGCTTGCGCATACACTCGGGCACTATAATCCTGTCCTGCGCAGATGGCTAGTCTCCGTTGAGGCTGGCCGCCGTGACCGAAATTCGGTCGGGAGGACATTATTATTATTATTACCATAGCTGCAGCGTGGCTCAACCACGTGAAATTGATAGAAAGCATTGTTATTGTTGTTTAAAGCTATTTTACTTAGATTAAACTGTTCATTCATAGTTGTTTCCTAGCTCTTAGCCTACTAAATGTAGAGCAAGAGTTCATTTATTCCTTTTTTTTTTTAGACGAGAATATTTCTTCGCGTCTCTCGTGTGTCCACAATTGTCTCACGAAAAGAAAGCACTGCCACAACCATTAAATACAGAAGAGAATATAATGATGCAAGATTTTATTGTTAAAGTAAGTTGTATATTTTTCTTGTCTTTAATCTTCCTCTAAAGTTTACTGCTAGGCATAAGACTCTCACGTTGCCATAATTTTACATGGTATATGCATTTTACGCGTAGTAGAGTCAAGTTGCAACTTATTATGGCTGCAGTACGACTTTACCACGTGCTCGGCGCTTATAGAAAGCATCGTGAGGAAACCAGCATATTACCTGAAAAATAAAAATAAAATGTTTCGAAGGCATGTGAAGTCTGTAAACACGCATTAAGGCAGCACGGGCATGGACATTTTTCTTGCTTAGGGCAAGGAAGAAGTCCACCGTAACACTATCAGAAATGAGAGGAAGCCCATGCCTAGGAGTAGGAAATGTATAGGCTGTAACTTTACTTTGACGCATCGGACGGCTCGATTTGGGAAAGATTACGCTCGCTCAGAATGTCAACGTGAACTAGCAGTAAGAGGCAAAGAGGCACACCATCTTAGTACTCAGGCGTAACAACGCATCTATATTTGGATTCTTAGTTTTTTTTTATAGGATAGGGTGACAAACGAGCACACAGTCCACCTGATGGTAAGTGGTTACTGTGACCCATAGACATCTACATCTATCCTCAATAAAGACTCAAGATGCAGATGCGTTGTCACCCGTGAGGACTAAGATGGAATGCCTTAAAAAGGGTCTCCGGTTCTCTACACTCACCATACGAAACACAGCAGCGTTAAGCTGCTATTTTACGCTGGTTTTCTGTGAGAGCGTGATCCTTCCCCGGTCGACCCGACCCATTCGTGCTACAACTATATTACTAATATAGCTGCAGCATGGCTCTACCACGTAAAATACACGTTGGGAATAGTTGTAGATGTCTATGGGCCACAGTATCCACTTAACGTCAGTTGGATCATCTCCCTTCATTCTATAAAAAATGCTATAATAGGTCTCACACGTTTGACGCTACAGTCCGTCACTCGAGTTTCACACGTCTGCGTCCGGATTTGTCTTTTTTAAGTTTGGCATAATATTATATTCAGTGGTTGGTTATACTTGAAGCTATGAGGTCTTCCTAGCACTTTCCATAATCACCTCTTACAACACTGCTATACGAAATCGAGTAATGGATTCTCGGCTCTATCACACGGATAAGTTGTTTGTGTATCGAGCGTTTATCATTAACATTAGTTAGTAATGGTATAAAGTAGAAGTTAAAGTCATAAAAAGCCAATTCTTCAATTATAATTTAACACATCGTACCCATAATCTTATTCTTCATTGAAAAAGGAAAGTTGTTGATATTTCTAGTCACAAATAATTAATATTTCTATGACTAAAAAACTTTTTTTCGTATCAATAAAAGAATGGAAAAATATCTTATTGTTCACAACAAAATAATACTGTTTAAATAGTATTATCAGGACCGTCTCACTCCGCACTTTAGGCCTGAAAATATACCTAGCTTGCGCGGCCTCCTACGAGGGGCTAATTGCGTGAGGTTAATATGCGCGCGCTTGACCTGACGCGCGCCTTACGTTAACAAAAAAGTATTTAGGCACTTTTGATATTTATTTTTGAGTTTTTATTCAAGTATGGCCTCACAAACAGCCAAAAGGTACTGCATAGCATACGGGTACTTAAATGACAATAGGAAAGTCGACTTTTCATTCTTTACGGTTCCTAAAGATACCGAAACGTAAGATCTAGATAATTAGGTCCCAGTTTCTGACGCCATAATTACAGTTTTATTATTTGATCAGTGACCCGACCACAGTTTCGCAGTTTTCGATCTTTTTCGCGTATAATGCCAATGACCTTAAAAAAATTCAGTGTTAGTAGAGCTCCCAGTACCAGTGACTGCATACTAATGCAAGATCAGCATATACTGGTCCTAAGCTTAACACTTGGTCCATAAAAGAAAGAGATTAAAATAGCAGCACTTCTAATTGCCACTCTTTAATTAATAACGCTGTCGCGTGTCACATGTTTTTAAATATCAAAAAATGTGAAACAGACAAGTGACGGCTCCGTAGCGCAGTGGCTTTGCAATGAATTGCAGCGCTAAGGGCCGCGGGTTCAAATCCCGCACAGAACAAGTATTTATATGACCTACAAATAATTGTTCTGGGTCTAGATGTTTGTCCTTGTGATATCTATGTATGAAAACTGCCCCCGCAATACAGGAGAAAATCCTAGTGTGGAGGTACAATTTTTTAAAAAGAGAGGAAGAGACACAAGTAGTGAAATTAAAAAAATTGTACAACAGACTTCAATATTATTATATTATATTATACCCTTAACTTTAAAACTACTGATCAGATCTTGATCAAATTTATATGGGATATACCTAGGAAAAAGTTCTGAGGTAACACACATAAAAAATACAGTGGCATTGAGTACCTCCTCCATTTTTGAAGTCGGTTAAAAATAGTAAGTAGGTAAATTATCTGAATTTCAAAGACGTTTACATTGTTATAATCTTAACTTTTCACGATGTTGCATAACCTTCCTCACATTGACCAATAATGTTCGCTCGGTGTATTCTACTACAACCAAGTAATATCATTTTTCAATTTGTTTTCTCACAACACCTAACCCTACAGTAGCGCCTTAACAAAGGCGCGTAATGGGCTAAGTGATACAGAGTCTCGTACGCGGACCTAAGGTGCATTTTAATTTAATACGCGCGCCGCATAATCTTTTTTTTTCGACGATATAATCGGTAGGCTAATTTGACGAAGGTCGTATCCGAGGCGCGCAAAGTATTATAAACAGTAGCAACGTTGTAACTAGGTTTAAACTCCCAAGTTTGCTATCAGAGAGTGATCCTTCTGTTCTTGTATTATTATTTATTCTGTGGTATTATGGCCAATTGCCAACCTACTATTGTACCTACAATATGATTTGTACACAAAAAAAAGTATTCGCTTACAAACAACTACCCACGACGGGAAAGGCCCATCTAACAATAGACTTTTACAGGCTGATAAAGAATAAGAAAGAAAAAGCATCAAACATTTCATTATAACATTTTTAATGAGGAACTTTCCGGAAACATGTCATCACTAAAACTGGTAGTTGCAATCAAAAATTGTCTTAATAAAGCTGGTTATCATTAATAACCAAAGTTCAGAAATCGAAAGACGAACAAGTAACGAAGCGGTGCGCTTTCATGCATTTCTTTTTACAAAACTAAAGTCACAAACGAACTTACAATCCAGTACAGGTAATTAGCTACTGCAGCCCATAGATACCTGCAATCAATTTCCAACCAAATAAGGCTACGGTTGCGTAGTCACCTTTAAAGATTAAGATATAATTACAGGTCCTTTAGACCGGATAACAGCAGTGCAGATATTAGAAGGCAAAATAAGTAAGAAACCTACCCAGATGGCCTTCTAGGTAGAAAAAGAGTTCTACCACCTAGTAGTGCGTGACTAACACATGGTCTTGCATGACAGAGTGCTGAATGGCGGCACACGGCGCACCGAACGCTGTCCTCTCACACACTTGAATTTCCTTAAGCTTATGTTGTGGTCATCATCATCACCAACCCATAAAAGTTCACTGCATCCATCGATACATATATATATATATATATATATATATATATATATATATATATATATATATATATATCGATGGATGCAGTGAACTTCTCGAAATCTAGTGCGTAGTACATACGAGACACACTAGATTTCGTATTCCGAACATTGACTATGTTCAACTGAACTGTACTGCAATACGTACACTAAACTCAAATAATTCTAGATTTAAATAAGAGTATTTCATATTAAATTCTTATATTTATTTTATATTTATATTTTATTTTATATTAAATTAAAATCTCCCGCGCATGCACGAAGACATAGAGTAGCGTACTATTTTTGTTTGGAATAGCTTCTCTAGTACGTAGTACATATAACTCAATGACTTTATCACATGGGCCTCTTTCATTGTTAATAGTTCGAGAGGATCAGCATTACTTGATACAAGCGAGATGGTTATAATGCCACCTATAGGAAGACAAAAGTTTTTCCGCCATTTCCCTTTACGTAACTCAAGGGACGAAATAGGGTAATTGATATTTTACGCCACTGCCACACTGCATACGTATATGTTAATGAAACAAAATAGTTTGTTTAGTGCAAACTCGCGGAGTGTTCCAATCACGCGTACGCTACTCAGATCTCTCAAGTCAGGTCACTACTGAAATTTTATACATTGTTCTAATCAGGGCTCGCCAAAATGCACAGATATAGTGAAATCATGCTATTGGAAATCAACCCACGACGCGGAATGGTTCGCTAAAGAATGCTGCGAGAAGATGTTTAAGCCAATTTTCACAGACTATGGACTTTGTTTTGCATTTAACAGTTTACCATTGAACAGCTTGTAAGTATACTCAACAGTAAAACATTTAATACACAAGTGGTAAAATTAAAATTCGACCGACTTCAATATAAATAATTTATTGTCGATTTTTTAAAAACCCCTCGACCGATTTCGAAAACATTTAAATGGAACCACCTGGCGAGTATACCCTTTGAAACAAAAAAAAAAGAATTTTCCATATCGGTTCGAGCGTCTTCGAATAATCGGTGAACATACATAAAAAAAGATTCCGTCGAATAGAGTACCTCCTCCTTTTTTGAAGTCGGTTGAAAAGTAGATTTCTTTTGGGGAACTGAAAGTGTAAAACTGTTTTTTTTTCTTTACCTAGAAGAGCCACGCTGCGCTATATTATGGCTGCAGCTCGAATGAGTCGACTCCATCGTGGTAGGACCATGCTCTTACAGAATACCAGCGTAAAATAGCAGCTTAATGCTGCTGTGTTTTGTATGGTGAGTGTAGAGAACTGGAGACCCTTTTTTACTAGTAACGAGGCAATACATCTTCTGCAGACAACGCATCCGCATTTTATTTCTTATCAAGGATAGATGTAGATGTCTATAGGTCACATTATCTACTTACCATCAGGTGGAGTATGTGCTCGCTTCCCACCCTTATTCTATAAAAAAAATTGCCTCCCATCATCCCTCTTCCTATGAAGAAATGATTGCCTGGCGTTTCTCATCCCTAGAACCCTCCGCTGGTTTGATTATTTCACATCTGATATTTTCGATTCAGCCTGTCAAAAGTCTATAGCTGAACTTTGGCTGTCCCCACAGATTTCCACATAGGTGGCAAATTCGCCATATTTACCACGCTTGGCAGACTTTTTTATTATTTTAAGTTGTTATCAGATACATACTGCTGGCTCCCTATCTCCTGTTTTATTACCCTCTGTTACTTCTTACGACACCCGCAAGATAATATGGCGTAGTGGATGCTTTTTCAGCGACTCTATACAGCGCCATCTGGTATATAAGTCTCGTATTAAAAATAATATAACCCATCTATCGGATGTCAGGAGAACTTTTTGCATTTTCCATAGTCACCTCTTAAGACACCATAGGATAAAATGGGATGATGAATTTTCTTACGCCGCCACCACACTTGCTCTCTACAATGAGTACTCTTATTCTAAAGAAAACTTTCCATAATCGCCACACTTGACAGCCGGAATGGCGATCACCGTATAGAATAGAATAGAATAATTTTTTATTATATATAGATAACATGTATAATTCTTATTGAAAGTATTTTTTTTACTTTACCACGGCTTCTAAAAAAACCCTCTGTCCTGGGAAGAATCAGCAAAAAACCCAGCGGGACTGTTTTTTTAAAGTAAATTTTACATAAATGGTTGTACAAACTATTTACAAAATTTAATTTAGAAACAGCTTCGAAGAGACTACCTCATTCCCGTGAGTTATTATTAACCATGTATTCATTTATATTATAATAACCCTTTTTATACAGTTTTAGTTAAATATTTAAACTTAGTAATACGAGTAGAGAGAGCTATATTTAGTAAGTATCAATCGTCTTATTTTGGGGCCATTTTTTTATAACGGAAGGTGTTTTAAACCACTTTTTAAAATCATGATTTTTTTCTGATCCCCATCCCTCTTATACGAACCGTTCGAACGAGAGAGATGAGAGGTACACCATCTTTCGGAGACCATGAGATCTTTTTAGCATTTACTATACTATTTGCCTCATGTGACATTGATGGAACAAGATGGTGAGACCAATTTTCTTACGCTTAAGATGACTCCACACTGCAGAGAAATTACTAACATAATTATCATCATCACACTGCAGTAGTCCACTGATGGACATAGGGCTCTCCTAAAGTGCGCCACTTACGTTAATATACAATTAGCTCAGGTACTAAGCAATCACAGTAAAATTAGATTCCTACCAACACACTTAAATTGTTTAATACAGTTTTAAATGCCGATTTACGACGGAAGGAAGGGAATTAAAAAAATGAGAACATGTGAATTCCGCCAACAGGATCTGCAGCAGTGCAATCTGCTTACTGCTCAAAACCCTCTCAGGAATGAGAGAAGGAACTGACTGACTTAAGTAGCTCTAATAATTTTTTTTGCAGGACTAACGACTCCCTTCATTGGCAAAAAACTTTCAATCAGAACGCATCACAGTTGCCCCTAAAATGGAGCTTAGATGATGGGTATCCAAAGGTGTTTCCTCCGGACCCGACTATGATTCCATTTAGAGCAATGGCGTCGGGAGAAGTTCATGGATTAGGAGTAGAACTGTACCTCAATACCAGCGAACATCAGTTTGGTTGTGATGGGAACAACGTGGGTTTCAATGTGAGTGTTAGAACAATTATTCGTTATATAAATCGTTTAAAATGAGGTAAAATATTCATACACTCCGCAAAAACATCAATCGACGCGATTGTAAATGTTAAAATCGTCCAGTAAGTACTTACAAAACTGAGCGTAGCGTAGACTAATATATACCAGATAAATAATTGCTTGCACTCGCTTTATCCTCTGCGATTCTGATGGAGTAGAGGACCAGGCCAGAGGCGGCCGGCGCTAGTGAGGCTGCAGATGTGTGATGTGAGAGCGCTCCCATAACCCTGACGTTTGCTCTGTGCGCCACATCCTAGTGTTCTCGAAAGACCAAAAATGTGGGATCCATCCGCTGCTGAGTGGACGTCGCTTTTATTCTCTTTTACTTCCTCAACCCGTAAAAGATCACTGTTGGCCATGGACCCCTCACGTTGAAGTTAAGATGTAAAGGATATCTTGTACCCTAGCAACTGCTCTTTTCTGCGACTTGGAACTTTACGTCTGCGTAGATGATTACGTATGTAATAATAAGCTATGAGATCTTTCCATAATCCACTATTGATTTGTTCTTTTAGACTGAATAATCATTATAATTATGTAAAATTGTTACAGATTTAAGTTCATCCATTCCATCCCATACAGCCTATCAAAGCTTACTTCTATACATAAGCCTCTCCATAGATTGCCTCATAGGTGAAGTTTGCCATAGTTGCTTGATGTTTTTTTTATAGAATCGGGTGACAAACGAGCACACAGTCCACCTGATGGTAAGTGGTTACTGTGACCCATAGACATCTACATCTATCCTCAATATAGACTCAAGATGCAGATGTATTGTCACCCGTGAGGACTAAGATGGAATGCCTCTTTGCCAGTAAAAAGGGTCTCCGGTTCTCTACACTCACCATACGAAACACAGCAGCGTTAAGCTGCTATTTTACGCTGGTTTTCTGTGAGAGCGTGGTCCTTCCCCGTTCGAGCCGACCCATTCGTGCTACAACCATAATATAGCTGCAGCATGGCTCTACCACGTAGAAATGTTGTTATCAGGAAGATGCTGCTGCATCTCCTGTTTCCCTATGTCGCCTCTTACGACACCCACGGGACGATATGGGGTAGTGGATATTCTTACACCACCACTACACGATAATACACTGTGGTTACAGATTTAAGTTTAAGTCAGTCTATAGAGTATAATATGTTTATTTTAAGGTTCTTATTAATTCACCAACTGATAACGCGTACACCAGTACTGTAATTCGTCTACCAATGAATAAAATGACTACCATTAAAGTGACGCCGATCACTTACAAAACCGACGCAGAGCTAAGAACCCTACCACCGTACCAGAGACAGTGCTACTTTCAAGATGAAATGAAACTCAAGTATTTCGAATTCTACACTGACAGTAACTGCAAGCACGATCTGTGGATGCGTGAAGTCAAGAAGCAATGCAACTGTGTTCTTTTCAATTGGCCAAGTATGTTTCCTTTCTAAACCTTGCTTAGTTCACATCTGAATATAAATAACGAGTTTAATGTGTGTTAATGTGCGTTTTTAGGAATTTACATTTGGGAGTCGATATGTTCAACTAAATCAGATTTCCGCTGCGTAATTGATGTTCGAGGTAAATCTAATATGTAATATCTAAAATTAAAATTTACCACCGGTTCAAAATACATATCCACAGAGGCACTAAAAAAAATCTGCAGTACATATTACTTATATTTGATATATATTCATATACATGTCATATACCGGAATTATTAATTGCAAAGATAAGTGTTCATTTAACACGTACTCGAACGTGACGAAAAAAATCGTAAATAAACCTGCATGTTTGACAATTTTTTTTATAGGAGAGGGGGCAAACGAGCATACGGCTCACCTGATGGTAAGTCACTACTGCCACCCATGAACAACTGTAACAGCAAAGGAGTTGCAGGTGCGTTACCGGCCTTTTAAAAAGAGTAAGCTCTTTTCTTGAAGGTCCTTAAGTCGTATCGGTCCGGAAAAATCGCCGGTGGTAAGCTATTCCGCAGAGAGTTCGTACGCAGAAGAAAACTCCTAGTGAAACCTACAGTGGTGGACCGCCAACCAGATGGTGTGGATGGTATCGAGAGTTTTGCCGCGATGTGCGTTCGTGAAATTTGGCGTCTGGGATTAATCCGAACAATTCCTCAGGGCACTCCCCTTGGTGAATGCGAAAGAAAATGCAAAAGAATGCAACATCTCTTCGCAGTGCCAGTGAATCGAGCCGATCGGAAAGGACTCGGTCGTCGACGATTCGAGCCTTCCTGCGCTGGATGCGGTCAAGTGGAAGGAGCTGCTACTGGAGAGCCCCAGCCCAGAGATGGGAACAGTAGTCATGAGGCCGAACCTGCGCCTTGTAAAGTTGCAGGCGGTGTGCCGGCATGAAATACTGTCCCGCTCTGCTGAGCACGCCAAGCTTTTTAGAGGCCAATTTGACCTTCACTCCCAAGTGACCACGAAACTGCACGCCACTCAATATGTCAACGACAAGGATTCCGATACTGGCTGAGGGAACAAGGGGAGTGCCTTGAAACTGAGGAGATACGACAAAGGGGTTCTTTTTAGCGGTAAACGCGCAAACTTGTGTCTTCTGAGGATTAAACTGGACTATATTTAGTCGTCCCCAATCCGAGATTTTGTTCAGCAAAGACTCAACTTCGGACAAAAGTTTGTTCCAGTGCTCGGCGACGTTTTTCCAAGAATTATTGGCACGGCCAGTGTATAGAGCATCACCAGTGCAGTGCTGTCATTCGCATAGCAATGAATGCTACCGGTTTGCAACATATCATTGATATGCAGAAGTAACAGCGTTTATGACAGCACACAGCCTTGTGGAACACTAGCGTTAATAGGCTTGTAGTCGGAGCATGCACCGTCTACAACCACCTTAATGCTCCGATCTGCAAGAAAGCTGGTGTTCCAATTGCACAATTTCTCGGGAAGAACATAGGAGGGGAGCTTCGAAAGAAAAGCTTTGTGCCAAAACGGATCGAAGGCCTTCGCAATGCCCAAACCCTCCAATGCCAATGCCTCCCCTTGGACTCTACTGCCTCCGGCCATCTATGAGTCAGGTAGACCAGAAGATCACCAGCTGATCGACCCCGACGAACCCCGTATTGGCGGTCACTAAGTTCGCCAACACGCATTAAAGCAACGCGGCAGACTGTTCCTAAATAATTAAATGTGTATGTTATACGAACGTTAGTCTAATGTATATAAACTATAACTTTATATACATTTTTATTTTTATTTTTTATGCAGTCTTAGTTTCTACGTGATTGGACTAGGAACGCTGGACGCGATTGTTTGTTGAATCACTGGCGGATTATCCTAAAGGCAAACTAGACACGTGCCTAGGGGCGCACGGTAAAAAAGCGGCGCACGTGGAAGTTTTTCAGCGAAAAAAATAGTATATTTGATTACTCCTACATCTCCCTCACTCTCTTATCATATTTTTTATTCACGCCCACCTGCTAAAGGTACTCGTGACTTAATTATTTTGCAACTATTAGGTTACTATTAAACTATACTGTAAATTATAATATACACTCATGGTATCGCGTAGTGTATATTTTCTTTGGTCATGGACAAATTTAGAGGAACGCGAAAAAAGTATGTATAAAATAAAATATCATCGATATTTGTGACTATTAAGTTTATCAATTTCGATTTTGCTTATTATTCGTTAATTTTAATATTGTGTAAACGTCGAAAAAATAAACGATGAAATGAAAAAATTAATGAAATTAAGAAAAATATAATGATTTTACAGGAAAGAAACATTTTTGTACTTAACATTTTATTTATTTTTTTATAAATGCTTGGGAAAGCCAATAACGTGGGCTATAATTGGTACTATGTGTTACCTCCTCTATCTCTTCGAAATGCTTCGAGTCATCTTGGCATACTCCTATATAATCATAATCAAGTTATCAATAAAATCTTGAGATATTGCGTTTTATTCTTCCTATTATATATTTTTAAGATATCTGAAATTAGCGGGGGCGGGATTTTTTTCTTAATTTGTCTACGAAACTTATCCCATACAAACTCTATGTATATATACTCTCTAAGTAGAGTGAGCGCGCTGGCTATACCATAGCATTAATTTTAACGTCTCGAAGGTATTCTACAACTACGGCCGCAGTATGGGGGCGTGCATTGTCATGCATAAAAACACATCTCCTATAAAAGTAGCAAATTGCACTACAATATCTTCCAAAATCTCAGTTACATGTTATAATGCCGCTGTTAGTGACACATTCTTAAATGCCCCCATACAAATACCTCCTCATACCATAAGTAACCCTCCCCCATATGCCTCTTTTCTTCTTTTGCTCAGGGCGTACCTCTCTCCCGAACATCTTCACTTTTTAATCCTTCCATAATCTGGCTTCAGGCAAAATCTGGACTCTGTCAATAGAACTTGACTAGACTTCTTCATTCCAATTTTCGTGATTGCGAGCAAAATTAACTCTAACTACTCGAAGGCATGTGGCAAGAAGGGACATGCGAGTGTGAATTTATGCCGGTCGATTTGAGTCTTTTTCTCACAGTTTTTGTGATCGCTGTAACCCCTTGAACTTCTCGTAGCTTCGTTCTTACCTCAGAAGTAGTTTAGTCCTGCTTCTAAGCACGCTGGTAACGATGAACCGGTCATCTATAGCCACAGTTTTCCGTTTCCGTCCCTGTCCTGCAAATTTCGTATACTGTCCGGTTTGCCGATACCTCTTCACAACTCGTACCACAGATTTGGATACTCGTAATGTTTGGGCCACAGGTGTACCCAGTTTCGATTAAAGTTAAAGCCCAACCCAGTGGTGTTTAGATCTAACATACTCAGTTCACACTTTACACGACTAACAAGGCAAAAATTTAAATAAAACCCCAACCTAATTAAACTCAAATACTAAAGTTCGCAGTGTTACATAATAATTACATAAAAACAAATGAAATTCGAAAAAAAATTCCAAAACATTCTTTTTTTATAGCTTTTACTAATGTGTGTGGCCAGTACGCATGGTAATTACAACAGGAGAAATTAAACCTTTGTTTCGCGTTTCTCTAAATTCATCCATGAGTGTAGTTTAATTTCAAAATGAGTAGATAGTCATAATTTACAATATATGGCCACTAGAGGGGCGCTGTAGAGGTGCTAGCCAGTGCTGTTGGCATTTATTCCGTCTCTGGTTGAAATACAAAAATTATGGCCGTGGATACATGAACATTCTCATATGAAGCTTAAAGTTTTTAATATTTCATATATAATCACTTAATATGCATACTTAGTCAGACTTCTCATAGAGGGATTCTATTCTTCGGAATTCGAAGTAGAATATGAAGTAGTTATGTATATACGTGTTTTAATGAATTGAGTAAATTATATAATAAACACTTTTTGAATCCGTTTAGCAAAAGTAGAGGAACAGCTGACATACGCATATTTTGAAGACAGCCAGGAAGATAGGACACGCGATGCCGCCTCTGCCTCCTGTCAACTAGCCTGCAACGACATTTTGTACTCCAGTCAAGTGTTCTACTCCGATCTTGTTAGCATACCAGGACGACCGGAGCCCGAATGGGAGTTCAAAGAGTAAGCTAATTAAAAATCTATACATATAATAAAACTGTAAATAGCAGATGTCTGTACATTTTATATTTTTGTAATAAAAGTGATTGAGGGGTACTAAAAATAAGTAATTAAATACATTTCTACCATTTTTAGAATTTTCTGTCTGTCTGTCTGTCTGTCTGTCTGTTTGTTTGTTAACGTATCACGTATAAAGTACTAATTTATATCATAAGAATTGTTAAGGAAATTATAAAGTGTATCTTCGGGTTACATTTAGTCTTTATTTCATTAAAATCAGTTCATTCCATCAAAAGTTATGATAAATATTCTGAAGTATGGGTAGGGAAGTATAGGTACGAATTTGCTCAACGGTGGCTTTGTTTGAGTCATCAAGTGCATTTTAAACTAATATCATATCATAAATCATAGTTAAATTATGTAAAATAATGATATAATTATGTATATCTAAAACGCAATAAACAAAAGTATTAAAGAACGTATTAAATATATTATAAAAAAATATATTAACCTTATTAACTAAATCTGAAGCACAATAGTTTTCCCATTTCTTCGATAGATGGTGGTGTTGTGAAAATGTAATGCAATTGCAATGTGGTTTTTTCCTGTAGATGAGTTTTCATATTTACTGCTAATCTTTATTATATTACTCGCTGCCCTACTGCGTGTTGACAAACTAAATTTATTCTTTACCGCCGAGTACTCTATGTGGTAAATCAAATTTTAAAAGAGCTATTAACAAATCGTTGGTTTTGGCGAGAGTCAAACTTTATTTTTTGCTTACTGTGCAGGCACTGATTTATAAGGTCTCTTGCGTTTTATATAATGTATCAATCGCGTCAATTAATCTCTTTTATTTTTAGAATTGATGTTAGCAGCGCCATCTCTCTTTAAATATATACATATAATAAAAATGATGATAACATGTTGTGTCTCTTTCTGTACATTGTATAGGTATATATTTTGGTGGCTAAAATCATTATGGGGAACTGAAAATAATTAAATAAGAACATTTTATAATTTTTAGAATTGTCTGTATGTCTATTTGTCTGTTATTATATGAACGCATCACATCTAAAGTAAACATCTTTTATTTTCAAAGAAATCGTTAAGAAAATCATAAAGCGTATCTTCGAGTTACATTTAATCTTTGTTTTATTAAAATTGGTTAATTCTATCGAAAGTAATGATTATTATTTTGAAATGTATGTTCGAATTTGTTCAATGGCGCCATAAAATCTCAGAAATAGTAATAAAAAGATTTGTGTGTAAAAAAAAAAGGTTCCATAATAATTAATATATTTATACTTAAAACACAAAAAGAGATTTAAAAAGGATGTTTTCTCACACAAAGGACGTAATAGATGGAGTTGTACAAATTACAAACTTTTCTGAATTGCTGTGTTGAGATTTTTCGCCGATGAATCGTGTTGAGACTTACTGAAGAAATTTGTATCCATCGAAGCCATACAACGGAATCCGACCAAAAATAAAAATTTTGCAACGAAATGTCGTGATATTGTATTTATAATATACGCAAAATCAGTACTACCATTTTAGCGCTTTGGGAACTAGATTTAGCGTTTTTTTGGAATGTATAGCGCGCATTTCGAAATTTTAGCACCTAGCTTAATCCAGCGCTTTTGGTGTATTTAGCACACATTTCAATATTTTAGCGACTAGCGGGTTATTTACTCTTTTATAGCAGCACTGTTAGTCCACATTACCGATAATAATAATAATGACCTTTATTATTTTTTCCCACAAACAGTACATTGCAGTTTATCTTTTTCAAACATATTTTTTCCACAAAACAAAGAGCATGGGAGACGAGTCCAAACTAGGATACCCTGTGCTATGGATCTCCTGGCTTCCCCTTTAGGATGATCAACTTGATTTTTTTACCGACGACTATAAGCGGGGAAATCCCCTTTATTAAAGTTTTCGTTCATGGTTTTGGCAACGCATTTATTTTGCTTTAATCAGTTTCAGTCAGTTGCTTAGAGCACAGCTAAGTTGAAAGTTATTTAGAAGTTATAACACAAAGAAACTGTGTAGCAACCGCAATCAGATGCTGACATCTGAAACTAAGTTGCGAAATACATTGCACTTTAAAACAATTAATGACATTTTTATTGTTCGTACAGTACTAACTACTGTTGACAGCAATTGCCATAATTATAAGTCGATGTCCTGCGAAGTATTGATACATCAAAAAATATTGCCAGAAAAAAAACTTAATGTTGTTTTCTTTATTATGATTATATAAAAAAACACAAACTTTGTTTGTAGTTAATTTAGCGCGAAATCTAGGGCTTTTTTTAAAGCGGTTTTCATTAAATCTAGCGCTTTTTGTGTTGTCCTAGAGCTGAATTAGTTTTTTTTATCTGGCAGCACTGCCCAAAAACCCTCTATTAAGAAGTAACTTTCCTTTCAATTTTAAGCGCGTTCAGTTCCCAGTTACAGTGAGCGTGTGTTATGCGATGACCGTAAATAAAGCGCAAGGTCAAACTTTACGCGTTGTAGGAGTGTACCTCAGTACTGACTGTTTTGCACATGGCCAACTCTATGTTGCTTTTTCCCGCGTTAGTAGCCCCCGTAACCATTTTGTGTACACCCCGGCTAAGCCTACTTCTAACGTCGTTTACACAGCAGCTCTATCATAAACGACTTAGAACTTTGATGATAATGATTTATTTAATTACCACTTATTGATACAGTAATAAAATAAATCGTTTAATATTCTCTTACCTAAACGACAAATTGTTTATCTAAAACCTGTATACGCGAGCTACGCCGCGGGCACAGCTAGTAATATAATATGTGGCCAAATTTGAAAAGTTTTATTGGTTCAAATACCAGTATTTCGCGGCGTTATTGGTCCACGGAGCCCGATTCTATTTTTAAAAGGGGATTTGTGCATATTCAAGCAATTCAAGCAATTTCGATTCAAAAAAAAATATTTCGAAATTTATATATAATGAATACTTGGTTAATTATAACAGTGAGTTCCTAATACACTCACACGCGTTTTAATTAATTCTAGAAGTTGTTCGATCGTCAATCATCCTTTTTCGACGTGATAGTCACGCTGCAGATGTATTATGGTTGCAGCACGAATAGGTCAACTAAACCATGATCCTACTCCGGTCGTGCCGACCTTCTCACAGAATACCAACCTAAAATAGCAGCGCAACCAGGCATTGTAATTTACCAGAGGTGACCCCGAATCTAAATTTTGATTTTTAATTACCATATCAGAGGTGACCACGAACCTACATTTTGATTTTTAATCACCTTATCAGAGGTGACCACAAACCTACATTTTTAATTTTAATTACCTTATCAGAGGTGACCACAAACCTACATTTTGATTTTTAATTACTTTATTAGAAGTGACCACGAACCTACATTTTGATTTTTAATTACCTTATCAGAGGTGACCACGAAGCTACATTTTGATTTACATTTTTACTTACCATAGACTCATGGGACACAGCAACCACTTACTATCAGATTATCTGTGTGCTCGTTTTTCACCATTGTCATTATAATGCTTAGTATGTGGACTTTTCGTTGCTACAACCCAATCAATAATTTGTTTTTATGTCATGTCTATGCATTGGTGTTAAGTTTTAAGTAACTAATGAAATTTCCTTTTTTTTCCCTCTTCCTTCTTTTTGGGGCCCGTCGGTACCATTTTTCATGGGTGTATAATCCACGAAAAATGAAACGAAAGTTTTTATTATTTCTCCGATCTCCTGGTTTGTTTCCTTCTGTCGCATCTTACGATAACGAAATTTTATTTAACGAAATTGCTTGCATTTGTTTTATTTAAAAAATTCGACTATAATGAACATAGTATAAAAAAAGTTTAAGAAGACGACTCCGTGGAGCAGTAGCTTAGCAATGAGTTTTAGCGCTAAGGGCCGCGGGTTCTAATCCCGCACGGCACAGATGAAGTATTTGTATGGCTTACAAATAATTGTTTCGGGTCTGGATGTTTGTCCTTGTAATTTGTATGTATGTAGGCTGCCCCCGCGGTGGAGGAGAGAGCCCTGGTATGAAAGTGACGTTTATTAAAATAGAATAGAATAGATAGTTTATTTTTACGAGATTTCCATTGCACTAGTGCAGTGTTTCACAATTAGTGGTACGCGTACCCCCAGGCGTAAAGGGGTCCTTTCTACTAATGTGTCAAGGCTTTTGATTACAGCTTGCAAAAATTACAATCGCCAAATTGTACATGCATAACATGATTATCGTTTAAGTTTTTTATTTTATTTATCATTTCGACTATAAGAGAAACTCTAGCTTGAGGATAAATCAATTAGATATCACTAGAGTATTAAGACGAGGGAGCACTTACCCTCTACGGAGAAACTTATAAAACATGACTACAAATTGGATTTATGAATTTCTTATGTCGTCACTAAGTGTATGGCAGCGAAACTTCTATTTCGTGATACCTGTAATGTTATTTTTGTCATTCTTTCAGAGGTGAAGTGACACGCATCAACGTGCACTTTTATGATGATATATTTTTGGGTCAGCATCGCCACGCGCAATACGACGATTATTATTTTGCAGGTGATTTAAATGAAGTCCATACTAACATTGTACTTGAAAATAATAAAAAGTCACAAACAGTAAACAGTGAGGGTGTTATCACACCAATCGATCGATCGTCGATCGACGCATCGATCAATGATGGAATGGATTAGTCAAAGTCGATTGATAGTTTCTACTACACCGATCGATCGATGGCATTGATCGATGGTACTCGTAGAATGGATTAGTCGACGTCGACCGCTATTTAAAATGTCGTCTAGATAAATTTAAGCTATCTCTGGTTTAAAAAATGGTCGTATCCAGAGTTTGCTGCGTTTGCGTCTCCGTAATAATAATACAAGTAAGTTGAGCGAACTGGCCAACAATAACGTGTCTTCTTCTGTATACATTTTGAACAACGTTTTATCAACCAGTATCCGTCAATCAGCTAAAGTTGCCACACCAATCGATCGACATCGATCGACGTCGATCAATGGCATCTAAGCCTAAGAAAGAGTTTGCTCTTGTGTAAATAGTGTTCACAGTATACTATTACTCTAGTATGTGTACTAACTCTCAAAAATCTTTCATTTTTGAGTTAGCAGAAGACTGTCTATCACTCCATCGCTCATGGCATTAATTACAGCCACATATTAAGGCATATGAAGAGTCCACTGCTGCTCTTTTTTTTGCTCTTTTTTTGATTGCCCATAGTTCCCAAGCTGTGCGGAGTTAGTGGATTCTCCTACTCCGCTACTTTACGACGGAGTCTATTACTTAATTTATGCATTCAAATAAAATTGAAGTGTCTGTCTGTAATATAAAAATGACTGCGTCTTATCGAGCGCAGGGGCCATTTTCACGCCATTAACACATTGTTTAGGCCCAAAAATGGTTATTTGTAACGCCATCCAATAGCGTTGACTTAGCGAATCGCCCGATGTGTGAGGTGACACGCGCGTTGCGGGGAGGGGGCAGCGGTATGCGGCCTCCCGGCGTTTTGGCGCTCGTGGGCGAAAACAGTAGCTTTAGTGCAGTGGCGCCGTCGCAACGTAACGTATTTGTGGTGACCGTGGCAGCGATTTCGTGCGACCAGTTTTGGTTTTATGGTCTAGATTTTCAGTATTTGTGCGCGTTACTTCGCTACTTAAATTGTGTTTCGTGAAGACCGCCTCGGGTTAGGTTGTCTAAGTATTGCAGTGAATCTACTCGGGCCGCGTGATCACTGCCTTAGAAGGTCGCGTTCGGTTCTCGAAATAATTTGTTGCTGAGTGAACGGAAGTGAACTTTGACCCACCGTTCAACAGTCATGCCGCGTGTTACGTTTTTGATTATAATTAACGGGATTTAGTTGAGTTTTGAAGTTAGTTAAATGTACAATAAAGTTGATAGACTGACATAGTGATGTGAGGAACTACCGGTTGTAAAGGACGCGTGTGGAATTATAACGTTGATTTAAGTGCCTCTTATTTTTGCGTTGTTTTTTTTTTGTTTGTTTTACGTGTCAACGAGGCTGAATTTTGAGTTTGAGCGATTAATTAACGTTGTTACAATTAATTAGCGTCAAGTGGTATAGTGGTTGCATGCATAAGTGCATTCTGACAATATTAATTCGCGTCAACGAGTTGCTTTGTGGCATTTGATTTAACTCGGAGATATTTTTCTGTGTCGGTTAAAACCGCTAAACTTTGTGACCCGCGAGAACCAGCATTCGTATTAGATTATAGATTTGTGCTAATGGACGCTAGACTTTGAGTGACACCGAGTGACGCCGCTGGAGTGATACCACATAGGGTGGCGGTGCTGGAGTCAGGGTTGCTGCTGATTAAAAAGGGCTAATTCAGGTTAACCATATATACACTTCTCACACACTACTTACATTCACTACACTTAACGCCTGCACGAGCCTTGTGATCCTTCTTCACTTCAGCACCAGGTAAGTCGCATTAAGTACCTAATCTATTTTGATCCGATTTTGATGAAATTTCACGAACAAATGCACAGAACAATGCTCTGGCATTGCTCTGAAATGCACAGAGCATTGCTCTGTGCATTTGATCAAGTGAGCAAAGTTATACCTGTTTCTGAAAATTTAGAGGTTTTATTTAAAATGGAAAAATTGGTAAAATAAAAATGCACATTGATGATTATTTAAAAACAATCTAAATGGCGTCACATTAATAGATCCTACCCCGACGAAGCCGGGGCAGGTCGCTAGTAAACGATAAATGTTTGACTGTTTAGTAGCGCTAACCCTAAGCTTTTTGCTGCGACTCTGTCAGTCACGGGTTCGAACCCCGTACGAAATAATTATTTTATGGCCTATAAATAATAATTGTTTAGAGTTATTTTTCCATATGCAATTTACGTAAATCACGTCCACGATACAAGAGAAATTCCTAGTGTGGGAATAACACCTCCGGTTAGCTAGTCCCTACTCCAGTAATCACCCAAGGGATTACTGAACCCAGTATCAAATAAAATTATCGCATCTCGTGATGAGCCAGTCAGTCAGTGGTATTTCGCTTATATTTCGATTATATATGTTTAATCAATCCCAAATGCCAAAATCAAGGGTTTGTCTCAGAGTCAGGTGAATCTTCAGAGCCAGGAAATTGGCGGTGTTTCACGCCCGTGAATCTAAAAACACTTAAAGCTGATTGTGCCAAATCGCCGTCACATCGGATTATGAGAGTGAGAGAATAGAGAGTACGCCTGCACTTGCGAACCTACATATTCATGCAGTATGATATTAATCTACGTGTATGATTAGTCTCTGTTGAGACCAGACACTGTGACCGAAATTCGGTCTGGAGGACATTTTATAATTATGGAGGTTAATCCATACCGCCATCTATCAGGGGCCCAAAAATCTTTATAAAAACTGCATAAAAACTATTTTCAGGTGCAATTGGGGGCTTGCTCAGTCTTTTCCTAGGCTTCAGCATCATAAGCGTCGCAGAATTAGTCTACTTCGTACTCCTGAAGCCAGTTCATTTGGCTCTTAAAGAAACCTTTAAGAGTATTTAATAATTGACGTTTATCTAACATTGACTTACAACTTTGTGTGTCATTCATTTATTACTTATGTGATTTATATAATAAGTGTAATAAATACATTTTAAATCAACGTATTAAATTCTTAGATTTTTTTTTCAGTAATGATAACCATCGGCTTTACTTATAATCGTGGATTATGGCTTACTTATATTGAACATTAACTATATATATATATATATATATATATATATATATATATATATATATATATATATATATATATATATATCTTTCTATTATCATTTAATGAAGTGAGAGATAACAACTTTAGGAATTTTTTAAATTTACATCCATTTTTATGAGTAAAGTCGTTCCGTTCATGTTTAGTGATATTTTTGAATGTGTAAGAGTAAATATGCTAACTTTCTCAAATGTGCCTTACCTGCGCATAGTGCATTCACCCTGTTGACTTAAAATAATTATTATTTAATTTTGTTTAAGTTGTTTTAAAAATAAATATGATAAGGAATACGTCTGAGATAGTAACAATAACAACCTTTTTGCCATTAGAAATATATCACCAAACAGCACCTACTGCACTGTTCGATTTGAAAGTAGTATAGCGAACATAATTATAGACAATAACGCTTTTCGTATTTGGATTTAAGGGTGACGAACCTAGCGACGCATCTGTTACTTTTTATTTAAGGTAGAGTTGGAGGTTTCCTGGGACTGCTATAGCCAGTTAATACGAAAAACACCGTGCATTTCGAACATATTATTTTGGTCGTCTAAAGAAAAGGGGAGATCTCCCAAGATGTTCAGCCCGTGGAGCGACCAAGGCTCCTAGAGTTATTTCGGAGCTGTTCTATATATTATAGCGCGGTAACTTCGGAACTTTGATAGCGCGATTTAGGCTTCGGTGTGTTACGCTTGTTTCGCGACGACAGCGCCGCCACATTATATCAATATATATTGGTATTGTTTTATTACTAGCGGTAAGAGACCTAAGAGTTTGCCTATGAGTTCGTCTGGGTAGATACCACCCTATCAACTATTTCTGCCGCCAAATAACAGTTCTTACGCTGCTGTGTTCCGGTCTGAAGGATATAGAGAGAGTATGATTACAGCCAATGAGGTGAGTGAGTGAGTTATCATACTTGTCAGAGGTGACATCGCATCTGTAGACTTCTTTGTTAGAATTTGGATGTAGGTGTCCATGGACTGCAGTACTTACCATCAAATAAGTGAACTGTTCGTTTTTTTGTCACTTCCGTTTTATAAAAAACGTATCGGATTTTAATTTAAAATAATTATAGGTGTCTATAGGCTGCAGCATCCACTTTCCATCAGATAGAATGAGTGCTCGTTTATCACTTACTTCCAGTCACATGTGTTAATACAGCTATCACCACCGTCGCTATTCTTGGCTTCTCACCTAAATTCAGAATAGATAAATTGACCACCTATATAAAAAAAAACATGCGTGAGTGTAATGGAACACTCGATTGAAACGAATTCCTTGCGTAGTAGGGGAGAAGTGGCATGAGAGAGCCAGTTTACTAAACGGAGCAATAAAAACATGCTTTTAGTGAAAGAAATTATGATTTTTTTTCTTCAATTATTATTTATTTATCAAAGTAGGTAATTGCATACGAAAAAACCTTAAACGCTATGAAAAAATCAACAAAATATTCTTTTAAATAAAATGTGTGTTTTGTCTCTTTCATAACATTTCAGTATTGAAAGAGCTACTAAAAGTTATGAAAGAGTCAGTCTGTATTATAAAGTGTAATTGTGAAAATTAAGCAAAATAATAATAGTTCCATTATTAAAAAAATAAAAAGACAGTACTAACAAATCCTTTTTAAAAACTAATGACATTTTGAAGAAATTTTTAATTCTATCAGTCATTTTAAGTGATTCTAACAACGCTTAAATCTTATTCAGTCAAACCTATTTTATATATAATCTTAACATATTAAAATTTAAACAAAATAACAAACATCCATCAAAAACAACATAGTTAAATCTTTAAGAACTTTAAAAAAAATATTGCTCACTTGAGCTTCAGTCTTTACTATCTATTTCCTTAAGTTTAAGATTCAGAATTTTTACGAACTTTGGAATATATAATGCAATTTGCTTAAAATTGGAAACATGTCTTTCAAAAGAAATTAAATTTTCCCTTAATGCCGCAGGATTCATGATTCCAATCAGAATAAATTTTGCACTAAAACCAATATTGATCACTGTTTTCACATGATTTGCTGCAATGATTTCCCTCCATTTATCTGGAGTGATATCATTGGATATGGCATAATCAAATGCCAGCTTCTTAGTTTGTTACCTTGTTAGGCCATAGCACATTTTAGAAGCACTTTTTAAATAATCCGCAAACATATTTTCTTTGTCTGTTGTGAAAATACGCTTATTTCCTATATTAGGACAGTGTTTAAAAGCTGATACACCAAGAAGCCTTTACTTTTTTAACTATTTTAGCTAAGTATGCTCTCAATATATTAAAGATACGTGCAGTTTTGTTTATTGGTGGATGTTTTTCCAAAACTTCACTAACTGCTTCTTCAATTACCGATTTTTCTGGACCAGGCTTCCCTATAATGCAATATCTGAAGCAAATAATTTAATAATATATGAAAAAATGCCTATTTACTATTATTATTTTAATTTTATTTACAATATTTAAATGCAGTGTTATGAAAGAGCCGGTTATGAAAGAGCCAACTCTTTTAAGGCCCATCCACCCGACTCTTTCATAACTTATTCTTTAAAAAAAAATATAACATTAAAAATAACAACAATATCAAAACTCAGTTTTTACGCAGCTGCAAGGTCAAGTATATGCACAAACTCAATCTACAATCCATTTACCTATATCTCTTTATAATAAAATACAAAAAAACAAGTTAAATGAAGCAAACTCCTTACTTTTTAGTATCAACAACTTTGACTCGACGTACCGGCGTCCCCTGGTTTCGGCGGTTTCGGCGGACTGTCAAATGTTTGTGGGTGACGGGGAATCAATGTAGCCACTTAAAAATAAAATTATCAATCAAATCCGTTCATAAACTAGCAAAATAATGTAAGTGGCTCTTTCAAAACCTGGCTACTTCATGCCACTTCTCCCCTACACATATTATTATTGATAAACCTATTATATATTTGATTAACAAATACAAATAAATTAATTAATAGCATCTATTAAAATGAAGCGTCATCTATACAAATAAATAAAATTGAAGTGTCTGTTTGTAATGTCAAAATTACAGTTTTTTACTAAATGCATATGAAAGTAAATACGATACCTATAACTAACATACAATTTTTAAAATTTTTGTCTGTCTGTCTGTCTGTCTGTTTGTTCCGGGTAATCTCCGAAACTGCTGGACCGATTTTGACGGGACTTTCACTGGCAGATAGCTCATTTCATAAGGAGTAACTTAAGCTACTTTTATTTTAGAAAAAGAATCAGGGTTCCGCGCAGAAACATAAAAACCCTAACACGCGAACGAAGTCGCGGGGAACAGCTAGTTTAAAATAATATTTATTTCATGGCAAGATAAGAAAAAGTGCAAGGCAGATGAATATTATTACATCTCGCTTGCACTATAGAAAGGGTCTTGATGGAAAAATCTTACACTTTTTCTCGCCTAGCCCGTACCGTGCGATAAGGAACTTCGTTCCAAAAAAGTTAGAAATTTATATGTGGTAGAGCCACGCTGCAGCTATATTATGGCTGTAGCACCAGGGAAGGACCACAGAATACTAGCATAAAATAGCTGCTCAATGATGCTGTATTGCGTATGGTGAATGTAAAGAACCGTAGACCCTTTTTACGGGAAATGAAGCATTCCATCGTAGTCCTCAGGGGTAGCAACGAATCTGCATTTTGATTCTTAATCGAAGATAAATGTAGATCTCTATGGGCCACAGCATCCACTTACCCTCAGGTGGAATGTGAGCTCGTTTGTCAACCTAATTCCATAAAAAAAAACATTGTGTCGTTTACTATCGCTGTAGTACATTAAAAACAGGGTAATCGCTTTATTATAATACGAATCACTTAAAGACTGAGGTCGAGCTCCGGTGCCAGAACTACTAGAACTGTTAATTGCAATTTTACATGCTGATTTACCACGTGATCTAACGTTAGAGGACCACAAAAGTTCCACAATAATGTTTGTTACATTATCGAGTAACTTTTGTGTTCGAGGAATCAAAAATATTTTGAAGACATCATGCCCCGTGTAGTGGCGGTTAAGAATACTCACTACCCCATATCTTCCCGTGGATGTCGTGAAAGGTGACAGAGGGAAACTGAGGCAGAAGATGGGCAGCAGCATCTTTCTGATAACAGCAAAAAGCAAAAAAAAACCTGCGGTTGCCAACCCGCTCGCCAAGCGTGGCAAATATGGCAATATGGTGTATGACCATGAGCAATGACATTAATAAACGGCCCCTCCGGTGGAGGTTTGGTTGCCACCTACGATGACTCGACCTGGCAACTTGTAACGCACGCACCCTGAGGACTGACAAGAAGATCCTGGAGCTGGAAGAAGAGATAGACAAGTTGCGCTGGAATATTATAGGATTATCCGAAGTCCGAAGAGAGGGGTAATCCTAGAATCCGGCAACTTGTTCTATCACCGGGAGCGCGACCATTTGTCCCAAGGAGGTATCGGATTTATCGTCCACAAGTCTCTCATTAACAACGTTGTAAAGATTGAAAGTGTGTCGACGAGGGTTGCGTACCTTATAATCAGAATCACCAAACGGTATTCCCTGAAGGTCATACAGGTTTACGCATCAACCTCGGCACATCCCGATGAGGAGGTGGACAAAATATATGAGGATATCTTTAGAGATATGCATTCCTCCAAGACCCACTATACGGTGTTAATGGGAGAATTCAACACAAAACTAGGCACAACAGAGAACGGTGAGCTGAAAGTAGGGAAATTCGGAAAAGGGCAACGGAACCAAAGGGGACAGCAGCTGGTCAACTTCAT